AGAGAGAGAGAGAGAGAGAGAGACTCACGGTCTGAAGCTGAGGCTGTAGGGTGGGTTGGTCACCATCATCTGACTGAGCGCTGATACGATGACGAGGATGAGGATGGGCATCAACTGCATGAGAAGAGCAAGACCTCCCTGACCTCCCTAAACACACACACACACACAATCGTATTAATCAGTCATCATAACTCTCCAGCACAGTCTGATCTACTCATAAACGTCTCATTGGCGCTCTCTGCTGTTTCATTCAGAAAATACAGCTACAGCATGTAAAACTGTTGCAACTTTAGAAACCACGGAACTTTAAGTACATTTTGTAAATGAAAATTAGTTTAATTAATAGAATTATATAAATGCTATGTTATATAGTTTCATTAATTAAATGAATTAAAATTGTTTAATTATATATAATTATATATATATATAACAAAATTTTTAAATTCTATTAATTTATTTTATTATATATATTTTATAATTTTACTTTATATATAGCTATATTTTATAAAGTTTAATTAATTAAAATTGTTTAATTATAAATATAATTATATATATAAAACAAAATTTTACAATTCTCCAATTCTATTAATTTATTTTATTATATATATTTTATAATTTTACTTATATAAATATATATATATATATATATATATATATATATATATATATATATTATAAAGTTTAATTAATTATAATTGTTTAATTATAAATATAATTATATATATAAAACAAAATTTTACAATTCTCCAATTCTATTAATTTATTTTATTATATATATTTTATAATTTTACTTATATAAATATATATATATATATATATATATATATATATATATATATATATATACAATTTTATAACTAACAATTTTAATATTAAAAACAATTTACAAAAACACATCAAAACTAAAATTATACATATATTTGCATGTAATAATAATAATATTATAAATTGTGTGTATAATGAGTATGTAATAAAAAAGTATTTCTTAATGCTTATGTAATATGAAAACATAAATTACATTTGTCATTCCACAGGACTGTAGAAGTGACCAGCAACAAAAGCTAAGAGGCTACTGAAAACTACGAAAACATGAGAAAAAAGCACTTCCCATCCACTGACATACATCTGAACCAAACACAGACGATTCCAGAGTTACACACTTTAAAACGCTCCCAAACGAACAGAGCTCATGGGTCTGAAGATGCTCCTCACCCCTCTGTGTTCTCCTCTCTCGCCGTGATTCTGATTAAAGCGCATCCGTCCGTTACTGTACATGTGAACATTACCTGAAAGAAACACAGTCATGTCTTTATTCGGAGCCTCAGGGCTTCATGGGATTGTGTGTGTGACGTCTGTGCAGTAAAATACACTGACAGAGACACAGACGACTGCCACAGATACTCCACAACCGCCACAAAAACTGCCTTTTATGAGTCAATAATGCTTATTCAATTTAGTTAATAGTTTGCCAGTAACTTTAACTTGTTCTTTGGCTCTTATGAAAACCTTAAAGTATGTGTCCAGGTCATATTTCACCCCAAAATTAAAGATAAAAATATGTAATTATATATTTGCTAAGAAAAAACGTGTTTCAAAGTGTAATGTATGGAAGCTTGTTACCACCACAGAATAAAAAAAAGCAGTGCTGTCTAACGATTAATCACATACAAAATAAAAGTTTTTGTTTTCAGAATATATATGTGTGTGTGTGTGCTGTGTATATTACGTATATATAAATACACACACATACAGCATATATTTAAAAAATATTAAATGTATGCATTTATATTCACATAATTTATATTATATATAAATATATATTTAATCTATAAACATAACATATTTTTCTGAAATATATACATGCATGTGTGTGTACTTATATACACATAATTGTTTGACAGCACTAAAAAAAACTTTTTCCTCACAATTGCAAGTTTATCTCTGAAAACGTGCAATTGTGAGTCTACATCAGAATTATGAAATATAAACAGAATTGCATGAAAAAAAAAAATCACCTTTTAATTTTTTTTTATTCCTAGGTGGAAACAAGCTTGCAAAGTAATGAAATCTTTCTTTTTATGAAGACGTCACAATGCAAAAAGTAGTTATTTCTGCAAAATATAATTTCTCTATTCATCTTTTCATTTGAGGGTGCACTTTTGAACGCAAAATACAATGTTCTCAAATCAGCGTTCACAGTTAACTCTGCTTTCATCAGCCTTCAGCCTCACAAAGGCGACAGGCCTGGATTAGGCCGGGTTCAGTGCGCTCACCCTGGGCTCTGCGCGTCGGGAAAAGCCGCTGCGCTTTCTCCAGGAACCTGCGAGCTTTCTCCGGCTGCGCGTCCTCCAGCGCTCTGATGGCGATCTCGATGCATCGCTCCGCTTCATCCCGGTTCACCTCCATCTCTGAGCTACTTACGAACGCCAGATGATTTCATAAACACACGCAGAGCGCACCATTGAGCTGCGACTGCTGTCGGCTAATAATAATAATGCTAATACTAACCGTTTCCTGCAGATGGCGCTCGTTGGCCCACGTGACGCGTTTTTAACGGTCATCAGCGTAAATCGTAAATCCTCGAAAGTTTTTCGTATTTGTATTTTTTTTTAAAATGTGTGTACGTTTATAACACTATTCTTTTGTGTTATATCACCTTTGCATCAAATTACAAAAAAGCAGGGTGTTTCTAATGCAGCGTCTCTCTCATGACAGCCGTTATCAGTCGCGCTCCTTTTACTGAAAGTCACGAAAACACTATCGTGGCGTTTTGCTATAAATTTCACGACGTGTTTTGTTTTGTTGCTGATATTCATGTGGTAAAAAGTATAATTATTTAAAATTATTATTTAAACTAATCCACACCTGACGTACGAATTTAAATATTTAAATCTACTCAACCAATCGCGTTGAGCACACACGGCTGTGATTGGTTCATCCCGGCCAACGCTGAGAAATGCAACAGGTGTCACGTGACTATTATCCAGCAGCGGTCTGGATTATTTTTACACCTTAATAAAGTTACTGTTTCTGATATTGCAGAAATATTAGGTGTAGTATACTAAATATACAGAATACGCTGCCTTTTAAATTAAACGAATAGCATGTATGATATATATACTAAATCTGTATATAACATATAACTCCCTCTTCTGATTAGCCTACATCAAATTAGATTAATTTAATAAGTAAGAATCAATATGCATTGGGCAATCTAACAGTAACGTGTATCAGGTTATTGATTATCTTTGTTTGTCAAGAATCGCACAGTAGGTGGCGCTACAGTTTATGTTTTTAGATGCCTCTTAATAACATTTTGCATTTAAATTTTTATAGTGTGTAATCACACTATTAAACACTTCAGCTGTCGGTCTAAAACTCTAGGCACTCTCTGAGTGTTTGATAGCCTACATGCATGCACTTTCTTCCTTTTTAATGCATTAATATATAGTTTATAACGGCTCTCTCTTTTATTTCTCCAACACTCTGGAACACTTTATTACAGCAGAACAAAAATAACATGTAAAAGTGTTTACTGGTGGCCAAAAGTTTGGAATAATTTTTCTTTTTAAATGTTATTAGAAGAAGTCTCTTCTGCTCACCGAGGCTGCATGCATTTGATTAAAAATACTTCAAAAATTGTAAAAACTAAATTTAAGGGGACAATGTCATTACAACAGAAAAGTCTGAGAAATTTATACAGTTAAATAATATATTTTTTAACAAATTAATAGGAACAATATATATTAGGCCTATTACTAATTATGTAGAAATGTAATTATGTAGGCTAACTATCTAAATAATTTAGTACTCAATAAATCAGTGAATCCATTTCAAACAGGTTAGATAGTTTTTGCTTAACTCTTTTCAATTTGTGTGATAACATCTATGATTGTCCAGAGGACTTATTTCATGCCCTCGTTTTTATTTAAGGGACAATATAGATCATGCAGTGCATTATAGGCTATAAAGTACATTTCTGATAACTGTAGTAACTGTACTTCAGCTTATAGATCACAGTATAGCAATATTTAGCACACTTTAGGTACAATATAAAGTGATAATCATATTGTAAACTAATGTCGCGTGCGATGATGAGCTAGTGTTCAGTGTTCATTGGCTGCGGCGGGGGGGGGGGGG